AGTCGGGCGCGATACGTACGGTACTTCGATGCTATCGATATATGCTAGCGAGTAGTGAGCGAGTAGCCGGCGTCGGTGCATCTCGCGCTTATTATATATTTTAATCAATTAGGTGTCTTACATGTCTTTTTCCCTGATTCTAATGCTTTGCTTTAATCAGCTCTCTCTCAATCTTTTCTGTTCTACTTTACTTGTTTTATCTTTTAATTTTAAGAAATCGGTCGGGTTACGACAGGCGTATAACTAAAATAGTTATTTTATAATTAATTAAATGCATACAATTTTAATATATACATATCTAACGCTTTATGATATATTTATAAAAAATTATGTAAGATGATATAAAATAAACAATCACATATGTATACATTTACATCAGTGCTGGGATTTAGATGCAACTTTCGGCCGGATTTCTTGACTCACGCCTACGGTTCCCCCTCTTACTGCTCGCTCCTTAGCAACGCAGCGCCGAACGGCCGTAACTAAGGAGCGTGTTACTAATCTCAGCAACGTGCGTGTCACAAATGTAATAACGCAATAGCCTAGTACCCTAGTGTATCCAATATAAACGAGCTATTTTTCAGTGTTGCTCAAAACTCTGTTAGGGGTCAGTATCCCTTAGTGGAGGTGTCAGACGTGTCAGACCATTTTGACCGTTCCTTTCGGGACCAAATCTCGGCGCCCGCGCTTGTTCGCGAGGTCGCGTTGCTGGGTCTTCCGAATTTAGTGGTCGATCGTGACGTTAATTTTGTGCCGAAAGTGCCTGTGGACGTGCCGCCGCCCCATATCAATCGGGGTCGCGGACTTGAATTTCGGTGGGATCCGGCGCCTCGTTTTGTGGGTCGTGGTCGCTTTTTCAACCCTGAGCCTCGTCCTGTGGGTCGTGGTCGTGCCCTTTTTCAGGCTATGCGGGAGTGGAACCTTGGTCGCGGTGCTGGACGTGGACGTTAAGGTAGGAATTTTATATTTCCGTTTCTCTTATTATTTATTCTATTTTTTATTTTGTTCGTGCATTTTTTTCCCTTTCTTCTTTTTCTTACTCTTTAATTTTTGATAAATGGCTTCAATCGATTTATTTGGACGCGTATGGTTTTCCTTCCCCTTTTTATTGTGTAGTTCACTTCCGAATTCTTTTCCCGTCGTTAATTTTTCTTTAAGCATTTCAAATGCTTGTTGTTGTTCTTGCGTCTACTCAAATTTATTTTCCTTTTTGGTTATCTTCGTTAGTGGTAACGCGATTTTAGAGAAATTTTCAATAAATTTTCTATAATATCCGGCTAATCCTATAAAAGCTTGACGTGAGGTGTGGAAAAAGCAGTTTTGCATTTGTCGCCTTCTTCCATCGGAATTTGGTGGTATCCGGATGCTAAATCCAGAGTTGTAAAGTACTTGGCGTTTCCAAGTTGATCTAATATATCCGTTATATTCGGTAAGAAAAATGAATCTCCTATTGTTACATCATTTAATTTTCTGAAATCTACGACTACTCGTATTTTCGGTTTTCCTGACGCATCGGCTTTCTTAGGGACTACCAATAACGGTGCGTTCCACTGGCTCGTGCTTGGTCGGATTATTTTATTTTTTAACATTTCTCGGACCTGTCGATTTACTTCCTCTTTATGCTTCTCCGGCAGGCGGTAAGGCCGTACGTTGACCGGTGAGCTATCTGCTTGCGTTGCAATCTTATGCGCGATTGTGTTGGTGCAAGTCAGTGGTTGTGCGCGAGTGAACCCGGGAGCGCGAATTTAGTGAGCAACAAACACGAAATCGTTTGTAAAAAAAGCAGTCAATTTATTAATATCAATAAATAGTTCAGAAGTTTTTTTTTCGATTAGATTTAAGCTAATCTTAACCGAGTGCTTGCTCCGGCGAGCGACCGGGAGCGTAACGATAATCTCCGCGAGCGACGGAATAAACGACGCGTTTTAATAACGAGAGATTAATCGCGAGCGACGAGATATCTCTTTTAGTATAATCGAAAACTTCGCGTTTCGTAAACGAGCGTACGAATTAGAAAAGCGAGCGACCTTTCTATAACGAGAGTTTAAACGATATAAGCACACACTGTCACGGATAAATCTCGATTGAGTGCGCCCGGCGGTTCCCCGAGAGAGCTTTTATACAAACGTTCTTTTACTCATTCTAGAACATTCGACATGTTTTTCGCGAAATTCGAGCTTGCTGTTGTTTGCGATGATTATTTAAAATTGAACGATGTTATTTTGTATTTGTTAGTAACTTAGGCTCTCCCGGGTGACCGCTGCGTGGCCCGCATCGATAGGCACGATCGATGCCGCGAGCCTGGCGCGATTCGCGTAGCGCCGCTGTTGGAGCGCGCTCCTATTTGTCGCGCGCCGTGCGACGCGCGAGATGGCTGCTAGCGCGCCAAATTTCGAGTGCGCATAGCCGCTTTTTGTTATAGCGCTTATTATCTTATAATAGCAATGAATTAATTATAGTTGGTTCGTTTTCGAACATTCCGCCCGTCTCGTTGTATTTTACCTCGTTGTATTTTGGTTGTACCTACGACAATTTGCGCTGATTGATTTACGCGGCCGACGTTGGGCGTCATACGCGGCCGAGTTCGGCGTCTCGGCGTGGTCCCGCGTCGCGACCGTGTCGCGGATGGTCACGCTGCTTAGACGTGACGCGTGGTTGATCACGTGGCTGGCACGCGTGTTATTCGCGATGGAATGCGGCTTCATTCACTATTGCTGATCGTAAAGCGTAGTGATCGCGCGTGCTTAACGTCGTTGTAGTGGATGTTTCGCGACTCCTTATTGTGCGGTGTCCGGTGTTCCTTTTAGTGTGTGTTTGTGGAGTGGAGTATGTGTTTCGTGTAGGCGTATTGTGAGGTGAAGAGTGTAGTGTCAAGTGTAAGTGTGGGCTTCGCGTAACCCGAATTTATTATTACAGAGAATACAAAAAAAATTTTTTTTTTGTTACGCGTCGTCCTCCGGTGCCGTGCTGACCGGGAGGAGGATAATTTTTGACAATGGTCGCTTAAAACTAGAAGTGGCGGTGCGCACAATGACGACCCGGGTGACCCCGTCTTCCCCGGGATGCACGCGGTCGATCCTGACAAGGGGCCACTTATTCGGCGGCGTTGTCTCGCTACTTAGGAGGCACAGTCGGCCTTCGCGTACTTCCTCGTCGGCTTTGCACCATTTCGGCCGGTGTGTCAGCGAATGGAGATACTCACGGGACCACCGGCTCCAGAAATGGTCCCGCAGCTGTTGCAGATGCTGCCACCGGGATAATCTCGTCGTAGTTTCTAAAGCGAGGGACGGCTCCGGAACGGCGTTGAGTGCCGTGCCAACGAGGAAGTGGCCGGGGGTAAGCGCCTCCAGGTCTTTCGGGTCGTCGGACAAGGCCTGTAACGGACGCGAGTTCAGGCACGATTCGATTTGTGCTAACATGGTGGCCATCTCCTCGTACGTCAGTTTCGCGTCGCCGATGACGCGCCGGAGGTGGTGCTTCGCCGCTTTGACAGCCGCCTCCCAGAGTCCACCGAAATTGGGGGCCACCGGAGGATTGAAGTGCCATTCAATCCTCTCGGCGGCGAGACCTTCCGCGATACGCTAGCCTTCCTGGCCGCTGGCTGCGAAGAGCGCTCGCAGTTGTCGGGCGTCGACATCCACGAAGTTTGTGCCGCAATCGCTATAGACGGCTCGACATAGCCCCCGGCGCGCGATAAGCCGACGCAGCGCGGTCAGGAAGGCGTCAGCGGAATAGTCTGACGCTATATCGAGATGGACGGCGCGGGTGCTGTGACAGACGAAAACCACCAGGAAGGCCTTAGTAGCGCGCTGCCCTCGTCCCCCGGAGGTTCGTAGCCACATTGGTCTAGCGTAGTCGACCCCTGTGTGGAGGAACGGCCGAGCCGGTGTCACTCGAGGCCGCGGCAGGTCCCCCATGAGTGGCTGCGGGGTTGCCGCCCGCCATCGCAGGCACATTAAGCAGCGGTGGATACTGCTTTTGACGAGCGCCCGCCCGCGGAGAATCCAGTATTCTTGGCGGATGGAGCCCAGGGTCAGCTGCACGCTTCCGTGCAAGGTCCGGCGATGGTACGCCTTGATGACGAGGCGAGTAAAGGTTGATCCTCCAGGTAAGATGATCGGGTGCCTGGCGTCATAGGAGAGGAGAGCGCGCTTGATCCGACAGCCGACTCTGAGGATTCCCTGGGGGTCCCTGAAAGGAGTTAACCGGGTAAGTGTACTGCGTGTGGGCAGAGATTTGCCATTCGCGATAGCCGCTAACACCTCCTTGAAGTTTGCAGCTTGCATGACTCGGATCCAACTCAGGCGCGCCTCCTCGACTTCGGAGGCCCTAAGGACGCGCTGGACGGCAGGATTGGCCCGTACTTCGGGCACCAGCCTCTCCAAGGGTCGGCCTAGCCAGCGACGACACCAGGCCATGACCCGTAGTAGCCGAGGCAGGGCCAAGTACAGGTTCAGCATCTCGGGCTCCTGGCTTTTCTCCTTGATTGACGTAGCCGCGTGGCTCGAAGCGCGCTGCTCGGGAAGCTCGCTCTCGCCGTCACAGTCCCCAGCGGTCGTCCAGTCTCCTGTCTCCGTGCTCAGCCACGTCGGGCCGTGCCACCAGAGGGGGTGGTTTACCAACTCCTTCGGTGACAGCCCTCGTGAAGCGCAGTCGGCCGGGTTGTCTCGTCCGGGAATGTGGTGCCACACGGCATCAGGCAATGACGTTTGGATCTCCGAGACCCGGTTGGCCACATACGTCTTCCAGCCGGCAGGATGGCCGCGGATCCATCCGAGGGCTACTGTTGAGTCCGACCAAAGATGAATCGTGACGTCAGAGGTCTCCAAGACGCGGCCGATGTGGCCGACGAGCCGAATGAGCAGCGTTGCCGCATAAAGCTCCAGGCGTGGTAATATCACCTGCTTTAAAGGCGCGACCTTCGTTTTTGCGCTCAGTAAGGTGACTTCTACCTCTCCTTCCAAGTTTTCAGTTCGCAGGTACGCGACGGCCGCATAGGCCTTCTCGGAGGCGTCAGCGAAGCCGTGGATTTCCCGTCGGTAAGCAGTTCCGCCCGTGAGCCCACGGGGAACGCGGATATGCTCCAGGAAGGGAAGTTCGGTCTGGAATTCCTGCCACCTCTGCACATCGCCTTCAGGCAGTGGGGTGTCCCAGTCGACCCGTAGCAACCAAGTCGCTTGTATTATAATTTTGGCTCGCACTGTGGTGGGGGCGAGCCATCCCATCGGGTCAAACAGTCGGGCTGTCAATGACAGGACTGTTCTTTTTGTTACAGTCGATAACTGGAGCGGTGGTATTGAGAACGCAAACGAGTCCTCGTGCGGATGCCACCGGAGGCCCAAGGTCGAGTGGCTTTTCCCTGGCTGCCACCACCGAGGATCCCGCTGCAAGAGGTCCTCCGCCGGTAGGTCCGCGAGCAGAGCGGAAGAGTTCGCTGACCATTTCTTTAGGGGGAATCCGCCCGCCCTGCAAATCAAGGTGAGCTGCTGTTGCATCTCCTTGGCCTCAGCAATGGTTGGTGCTCCGGTCAGGACGTCATCCATGTAAACGTCCCGGCGAAGAACGTCAGCACCGAGTGGCCACTGGGAGGTTTCGTCGTCGGCTAGCTGACGGAGAGTGCGGATGGCTAGAAAGGGAGCACACGAGAGACCGTAAGTGACAGTATTGAGACGGTTTTCCCAGATATCGTCGTCCGGGTGGCGACGTCACCACAGCAGGCGCCCTACATAGATACGACAGTGCCGCTGCCACGGAAGAGATGGATGCTTGGTTCGTGCCTCCTCCCGCCTTAAATCTCCCCCTCGCTTCACTCGGCCAGCGCTGGCAGCAGGTTCGGTCCGATCCTCAGATGCCGATTGAGTGTCTCGCCCGTTGGCAGTTTGGACGAGCCGTTGAACACGACTCGCAATTTGATCGTGGTGCTCGCTTCCCGCATCACCCCGTGATGAGGGAGGTAGCAGCGTGGCTCAGGAGCGGCGTCCGCGCCCGGTGAGACCGACGTCATGTGCCGCAAGCTCGCGTACTGACTCATGAATTCAGCGTACAGTTCTTGGAACGAAGCCTCTCGGTCGAACTTGATCTCCATGTGCTTTAGCAGAGCCGCAAAGCCGCGCGACGTGTGCCGGTGAGGTCCGGTAGAGGCTCGATCACCGTGAGGCGCACCGTGTAGCACCTGTCAGGCCCTCGTAAATGCGTGCGCACGAAATGATCCTCGCACTCCTGCTCGTCCTTGGATATGGCGGTGGCGTTGATCGGCATGTCCTCCTGTTCCCAGAAGCGGCGCACCACGCTCGCGAGGTCGTCCTCAAGCCGGCACTGATGCGTATGCGCCAGTAAAGAGGTGGTTTCGCCGATCGCTCCCGACAGAATCCGCCCTAGCGTCGTTTTCTGCGCCAGCGGTTCGCGGCGCTCTCCCCTTCGTAGACCTTGGCAGAGGATGGCCGCGTGGACGTCGGCTCCGAGGAGAATATCGACTTGGTCAGCGGCGCTGTACTCAGGGTCAGCCAGCTCCAGGCCCTCCACATGCAGCCAGGTCCTCGTTCCGGAGTGCAGCCCGCCGGCGTAGACGGTAAGCCGCGGAAGCACAAGAGCGCTGACGAACGTCGCCGCTCCTCCGAGTCGCGGTGACAGCGAAAGCGCGACGCAACCTTTGGCTGTACCGGACTTCTGCCCCCCAACTCCGAAGACTGTGACTGAGACTTGTGAACGCGGCAGCTTTAACCTTTGCGCGAGGCGTTCGGAGATGATCGATAACTCCGAGCCCTGGTCAATGAGCGCGCGCGCGCCGTGTGTAAGATGCCGTGTCGGTCGGCTACTCGAACGCGAGCGGTCGCGAAAAGCACGGTGGCAGGCCGGTCGAAAGGCCCCTGCGCGACGTGTGATGATTTCGCGACGGCGTTATCGCGACAAGTTTCGTGCAGTGAAGAGTGGTGACGAGCCTCACACACCGAACACGCCCTTTTGGAGGCGCACTCGCCTACTTGGTGCCTGCCGAGACAATTAAGGCACAAATTTCTCTGCTCGACTATCTGCTTCCTTTCTTGGGCCGTCTTCTTCTTGTACTCCTCGCAGAGCATCAGAAAGTGGTCTCGCTGGCACAACGCATAGCGGCCTCGCTTCACTTCAGGTTTGCTTTCTTGCTTTCGAGCGAGATGGCTGCGCGTGTACTTTAGCGGGCTGGACCCTGACTTGCTCGCGGGGCCATCGGCTTTGATCGGCTGCATCGCTTCTAAGGTGTGCAGACGTCTATCGAGAAACAGCTCGAGAGTATCGAACGTCGGCGGTTCCTTCGTATCGCCAATCGAGGTTTCCCATTCGCGACGCGAGCGCGGGTCGAGGAGGTCGACGGCTAAATATACAAACAAATCTTAACTGCAATCGATCGGTCGGCCAATGTTTTCCAACGAGCTAACTGTGGTCTTCAAGCAATGGAAGATTTTACGGAGCTCGGCCGGGGATTCACTCTTCATCTTCTGGAGCGAGATAGGCGCGAACCAACAAGCGTTTGTTTTTATAATAGTCGCTCAACATTTTCCACGCGCTTTCGTAGTTATCACCCGTAGTAGTGATGTTGCGTATTAATAGCTCCGCTTCACCCTTTAGGCATGTCTTCAGGTAGTGGAACTTCTCAACCTGAGCTATCGACTCATCCTTTCCGAATATCGACAGGAATAAATCGCGGAACGCCGGCCACTCTTCGTATTTCCCGGAGAACTGGGGGAGCTTGATCCGTGGCAGAGTCGTGCGGGATGCTGATCGTGATACGTCCCCGGCGCGTCCCGTCCCAGGCGACTGAGGCGCTGGCCTTGTGAGCGCATCCTCCAGCTCCAGAACCGCCGCGCGTTGGTCCACGTAGACTTCCTCCGCCTTAGCCAGGAAGTCCTTCGTCACGTATTCGTGCTTCCTAAGCTCCGCTTCATAATCGACACGAAGTCCTTCGTGCTGCTCCTCGAATTTAGCCCATTTGGCGTCCAGTAGCTTTAGCGTGGTTGCTACAAGCCCCTTATTAATTTTCGCTTGTCCTGCGGGTGTGTGTGTGCGTGCGTGTGTGCATGCGTGCGTGCGTGCGTGCGTGTGTGTGTTTAAAAAATAATAATAATAAAAATAATAATAATAATAATAATAATAATAATAATAATTTAAAGGTGACCATCTGAAACATAAAAATACAAGTCTTATTAATAAATCTATTTGTTAATATTATAAAATTTTTTAAAAAAAGGGAACGCGAAGGTACGATGCCGCGAGGAGGCGTGGGAGCAGGATAGCGCGAGGCGTCCACATGAGCGTAAGACAAGAATAGTGTTTGCATGCACGTTGGAGAGAGGTAATTTAAAGGTGACCATCTGAAACATAAAAATACAAGTCTTATTAATAAATCTATTTGTTAATATTATAAAATTTTTTAAAAAATGGATACTTACATTATCTTCCTGGAGCCGCAAGCTTTTCCTCCCATTCCTCCTTCTCCCAATTTTCAGCCTCTTCCTCCTCCTCCCAATTTTCTTCCTCAGTATATGGCTCCAGGTCGAAAAGCAGCCTTAAACAAAAGATGTCCTCATATTGCGATGGGTGCACGCATGCCCATTCGCGGGTGTCGCCCCACAAAATGGCCTGCACCCACCGCATATTCCCGCGCATCCACCGCGTGTATTGGAGGTGGATAACGTCTATTTGCACGAATTGAAATATAATATTATGTAATATACATCACACATAACCTTACATACGAAAACATTGGACACTACTTACCAAATGATTGCGAAACATTTTTATACTCTAAACTGTTCTTCACAGACTGTCGGTCAAACACTTTGTGACGGACACAACGGGATAGACATTGTCTCGATTAAATATTTTAGAGTAGGGGATGTATCACTTACAAAGAACGCTTACCTTCTGCACTTTATAAGAAGACAAGAGTAAGCATGTTTCCGCGGACAATTATCTAAAAGTCTTTTAAATATGAATGTATTATTATAATATGCAAACAGCTATTGAACGGTTTTGAACACCTATCGAACAGCTATTGAACGGCTATCGAACGACTTTGAACGGTTATCGAACGGCCATTGAACGGCTATGAACGACTATTGAACGACTATCGAACAACTTTGAACGGCTATCAAACAGCTATTGAACGGCTATAAACGACTATTGAACAACTATTGAACGACAAAACAATTATTTATACGCAATTCAAATATTTAAAGTCTATGTCCATGAACTGAAATGTAACATATATATTTTAATTAACTAGCTGACGCCGCTATCTAACGTCACGTACAGAAATTTAATACTCGCATACTGGGATAAGAAAGAGGAAAAGGGAAGAATAAATAACAATAAAATATATTTTAACAATAGTTTATTCTAAATAATGTTTGGGTGAACCTTTATGAGCCACTTTATATCCACCAATTGTATTAGGTGTACAAATAAGTTTCCGCCGTTTGACAAAAGTTGGCGCCACCAGTAAGTTATGGTTAAAATTGTCAGATGTAAAACGTCCTTATCGTAAGATTGGACATCAGTCAATAACATAACCTTAAAACATTAGTGATTTTTTATCAGAATAATATATTCTTTTGTGTGCGAAAATGTCGAGTTTTGAGCCGAATAAGCGTCATTTGCGGGAACTTTTGATTTACTTCTTCAATTTGAAGAAATCTGCAGCTGAGGCGTATCGATTGCTTGTAGAAACATATGGTGAGGCTGCCTTAAGTGAGAGAAGTTGTCATGAGTGGTTTCAAAAGTTTAAGAACGGTGAATTTGACATCGAAGACAAAGAACGTAACGGAAGGCCGAAAGTGTATGAAGACGCGGAATTGGAAACATTATTGGATCAAGATTCGTGCCAAACGCAAGAAGAACTTGCACTTACATTGGGAGTGACTCAACAAACAATTTCACATCGGTTGAAATCATTGGGATTGATTCAAAAACAAGGAAATTGGGTTCCATATAAACTGACGCCGAGAAACGTTGAACGCCGATTGTTCACATGTGAAATGCTGCTTGCCAGGCATAAACGAAAGGGTTTTCTGCACCGTATAATCACTGGTGATGAAAAATGGATCCACTATGATAATCCAAAAAGGAAGAAATCACGGGGACCACCTGGCCATGCTTCAACATCTACAGCTAAGCCAAATATTCATGGAAAAAAACTCTTGTTATGCATTTGGTGGGATCAGCTTGGTGTCGTGTATTATGAGTTGCTCAAACCGAACGAAACCATTACTGGGACTGTCTACCGAACACAATTGATGAGATTGAGTCGAGCACTCAAGGAAAAGCGCGCCCACTACTCCAGACACGACAAAGTTATTCTCCTGCATGATAATGCTCGTCCACATGTTGCGGCGCCGGTCAAAACCTATTTGGAAACACTCAATTGGGAAATTTTACCCCACCCGCTAGTGTCTTCACCAGACATTGCTCCTTCTGATTTCCACATGTTTAGATCGATGGCGCATGGCCTGTCTGAGCAACACTTCACATCATATGAAGATACCAAAAATTGGGTCGATTCGTGGATAAC